ATTAAGACAACAAATAGAGCAATGGAATAGACTAGGGAGCCATAAATAAGCCCTCACATATATAGTCAAATAATTTCGACAAGGTTGCCAAGACAATTAAATTAGGAAAGAGAACCCTTTCAGTAAATGGTGCTGGGAAAACTGGATATCTACATGCAAAAGAATGAAGATAGACACTTACCTAACATTGTATACAAAAAAAGTGACTAAAATGAATCAAGGACATAAATTTAAGCCCTGAAACAATAAAACTCTTTGAAGAAAACATAGTGTAAAATCTTCATGGCATTGATTTGGGCAGTTACTTTTTGGATATGACACTAAAGGCATAGACAATAGTAGCAAAAATAGACAAATTGGACTTCATGAAAAATTTTAAAATTTGTGCATAAAAGGATGTTACATTTATTTAAAAGACAACACAGAATGGGAAGAAATATTTGTAAATCATATATTTGTTAAGGTATTACTATCCAAAATATATAGAGAACTCTTAAAATGCAATAACTACCAAAAAAATAATAATAACAAACCCTGATTCAAAAATTGGCAAAGAATCTGAATAGACATTTCTGAAGAAAAGACATGAATGGCCAATAAGCATATGAAAATTAGGGAAACGTAAATCAAATGTAAATCAAAACTGCAATGAAATACCACCTCATACCCATTAGGGTGCCTACTATATAAACAAAAGTAATTAATGTCAGCAAGGATATGGAGAAATTGGAACCCTTGTGCACTAGAAGTGGGGAATGTAAAATGGTACAGCTGTTGTGGGAAAACAATATGGCAGTCCCTTTCAAAGTTAAAAATAGAATTACCATATGAATCAGCAATTTCACTTATAGGTATATATACCCAAAATAATTGAAACCAGGGTCTTGAAGAACTTTATACACTCATGTTCATAGCAGCATTGTTTGCAATAGCTAAAATATGGAAGCACCCCATGTGCTCATCAAAGGATGAACTGATAAGCGAAATGTGGCTTATATTTAACATAGAATATGATTCAGCCTTAAAAAGGAAGGAAATTCTGCAATGTGCTACAACATGGATGAACCTTACGACATTATGCTAAGTAAAATAAGAGTCACAAAAAAATAAATACTTTGTGATTCCACTTACATAAAATACTTGAGGTAATGAGAATCATAAATGCAGAAAAATAGAATGGTAGTTATCAGGAGCTGAGGGGTCGGAAAATGGAGAGTTATTGTTTAATAGGTATAGAGCTTCAGTTTTGCAAGATGAAAAGTATAGGGGATGGATGGTGGTGATGGCAGCACAACAATGAATTAATACCAATGGAATATACATTCAAAATGGTTATGAATAAATTTAATGTAATATGGATTTACTACAATAAAAAATAAATTGAATAGACCCTTCTCACTCTCACAAACCTGAGACTATGCTCTGCTACACCCTGGCATATAAGATTCAGAAGGAGAGTTCCAGTCAAGATGGCGGAGTAGGTAAATGCTGTATTTGGATCCTCCCTTTAAGAGGAATGCTTGTTACTCTGCCTCGCTCAGCCACAATCTCCACTGGTTTTCACAGCCAGAAGCTATGGGGGCATCTCTTCCTGGCACTGGAACTCTGGGCTGGGGAGCCTGGTGTGGGGCTTGGACCCCTCACTCCTCAGGGGGACCTCCTCAGTCAAGACATCCCTCCTGGTTTTTAACCGCCACACGTGGGTGTGGGATCAGCCCCTTCTGTGTCTCTGCCCCTCCTACCAGTCTTGAGGTGGCTTCTTCTGTGTGTCCTTAATTATAGGACTTCTGTTCAGCTAGACTTCAGGCGATTCTCAGTGATGGTTGTTTGGTAATTTAGTTGTAATTTTGATGTGGTTGTGAGAGGATCCAAGCACAGCATTTACTTGCTCCACCACCTTAAATGTATCAATTATTTCTTTAATGAATCTTTGCTTTGATGTTGTATCTAAAAAGTTATCACTATACCTATGACCACCTAGATTTTCTCCTATGCTACCTTCTAGGAGTTTTATAGGTTTACATTTTACATTTAGGTCTATGATCCATTTTGAGTTAGTTTGTTTGAAGGTTTAATGTCTCTTTCTCTATTTATTTTTTGCATATGAATGTCCAGTTTGTCCAGCATCAATTTTTAAACAGGTTTTCATTATATAGGTTTTTATCATTACCTGAAAGTAGACTATTCCTATGGAACCTTGCACAAGCTGAAATAGTGTAAAGCAAGGAGTATTCCGTTTTCCAAAAGTTTGCATTATAGCACTTCACTTTTATGTTAGTCTTACATTAGTGCAATACCAAATTTTTTTCAGAAAAGGAAAATCTTCTTAAGATTTCTCTCAAAGAAGACAGGTAAATGATGTAAGTTTTCATAAAGGTGAAATGGTGTAACTCAAACTTTGGGAAAGTGGAAGATATCTGTATTGTCAAAGATCAGTTGATTATATTTGTGTAAGTCTATATCCAGGCTCTTTATTCTGTTCCATTGATCTATTTGTTTATACTTTTGCCAATATCACACATCTTGAATACTGTGGCTTTATAATAAGTCTTGAAGTTGGGTAGTGGCAGTCCTCCAACTTTGTTCTCCTTCAATATTGTTTTGGCTATTTTGGGTCCTTTGTCTCTCTGTATAAACTTTAACACCAGTTTGTTGATATCTACAAAGTAACTTGCTCGGAGTTTGATTGAAATTGCATTGAATTTATGGATCAATTCAGGAAGAACTGATATCTTAACAATTAATCTTATCCATGAATATGAAGTATCTCTTCATTTATTTAGTTCATTGATTTCATTCATCAGAATTTTGTAGTTTTCTTCGTATAGATCTTATACATTTTTTGTTAGTTTTATACCTAAACATTGCATTTTCTGGGGTGCTAATGTAAATGGTATTTTGTTTTCAATTTCAAATCTTTGTTCATTATTGGTATATAAGAAAGTGATTGACTTTTTTATATTAACTTTGTATCCTGTATCCTTGTTACAGTGGCTTATTAGTTTTAGGAGGTTTTTTGGTTAATTCTTTCAGATTTTCTTCATAGGCAATCATGTCACCCCCAAACAAAGACAGCTTTATTTCTTCCTTCAACTCTGTATACCTTTACTTCATTTTCTTATCTTATTGAATTAGCTAGTACTCTCAGTACAATGTTGAAAGGAATGGAGAGAGAAAACATCCTTGCCTTGTTCTTGATCTTAGCAGGAAGGCTTTAAGTATGATGTTAACTGTGGGGTTTTTGTAGATGTCCTTTATCAAATTCAGGAAGTTCTCCTCTATTCCTAATTTATTGAGAGTTTTTATAAATAAGTGTTAGATTTTATCAAATGCTTTTTATACATTGATATGATCATGTAACTTTTCTCTTTAGCTTGTTGGTTGATTTTCAAATTGATTTTCAAATGTTGAACCAGTCTCACATACCTGGGGAAAATCTCACTTGGTCGTGGTATATAATTCTTTTTATATGTTGTCGAATTCAATTTGCTAATATTTTGTTGAGGATTTTCACATCTATGGTCATGAGAGATATTGGTCTGTAGTCTTCTTTTCTTGTAATGTTTCTGTCAGGTTTTGATATTAGGGTAATGCTCACCATATAAAATGAATTAAGATATATTCTACTGTCTGGAAGAGATTATACAGAATTGGTATAATTTCTTTCTTCAATGTTTGGTAGAATTCACTTGTGAACCCATCTAGGTCTGATGCTGTTTTGGAAGATTATTAATTATTGATTCAATTCCTCAATAGATAGGCCTATTCAGATTGTTTATTTGTTGTATATTTTTTAAAGTTTTCTTTTCTTTTTTTTTCTGAGAAAAGGTAGTTGAGTTCATGGAAGTTAAATGCATATGGGCTGTGACTCCCCTGGAAATAAAGTGTTAATGCTCTTGAGATGGCTCAGCTGTTCAAGTGACTCAGCTGCCTGAAGACCAGTTACTAGACAGCACCTCCAGGATTCTGCTGTGAAGCGTATGTGTGCATGTGTGTGTGCTCTCACCATGTTCTCAGAATCTGGGAGGCTGCCTTCCTCTCCCCAGTTCATCTCTCTGTGTGTCTCTGCTACCTCCCAGCTTTCTAGGAAACACAATCTTGCCTGAGAACTGGTGGTTTCACATCAATCTGGAGACTCCTAGCAGGAGACTCTCCATGGCAGGACATGGGCCAGCAAGACATGGCTACACAGGAACCTGGTTTCCCTGTGGGACATTAAAACCTCGGGCCGGCTCCCACCTCAGGGTCTTTGCACTTACTTTCTCTATGCCTGGCACCTTCTTTTGCCAGCTCACCATATGGCTTCCCATCACTCAGGAAGTGCCTAGCTCAAATGACACCTTCCACTGGAAGCCTGCCCTACCCCCACCCATCTGCTGCTACCTTCCACTTCAGCTCCTTTCTCATATCTTTCTTTTTATTTTCCTCATAGCAAGTGTCAGTATTTACAGGTCAATCTGTGGGCCTGTCTGTTGTTTGTCTGCCTTCATGGAATGTCAGCTCCATGAGAGAGACCCAAGCTTGATCTAGAATAGGTGCTCAATCCGTGTTTGGGAGTGAATTTCTTGCTCCCACCAGGTCTCGCTTTAGTGCCTCAGTCTGATCCTGCCCAGCCCAGCTCTCCTGGGCCTGGCATCAGCAGAAGAACGTAGCTGGAGTGGGAGGTCCTTGGATATCTCCCACTTTGGCTGCAGACTACTCCAGGGTGGGGATGGACCATTCTAGTATGGCTCCATCCATGTGATCTGCTCCCAGGCTCCTCCTGGGTTCCCATGACCCTCAGCTCTCCTGCCCAGCAGGACACACTCTCTCACCAGAACCAGGACTGGAAGACTTCAGAGAGACCTTTCCAGAAAACTGAAGCCAAGTAAGGGCCAGGGCTATGGACAGGGAGGGTAGGATGCTGCATAACGCTGCTCCTAGTGGCTGTGGGGTCCTAAGTAACAACCAGTGACAGAGCCCATCCCCCACCAGCCTGGGCAGCCCCACACAAGACCTACATGCGGATTTGGGTGTTTTTCAGAGTGAAGCTCAGCTCCTCCAAGGTCTCCTCCATTTCCTGCGTGTTCTGGATCAGTGAGAGGTTCTGCTCCTCCAGCTTCGTGAAGATATCTAGGAGCTGCTGGGGCTCTGTGAAGTACAGCTCCAACTCCTGCAACCAGAGCTGTGTGTGCGGGGTGCCAGCAGTGTGGGAGTGTGGGGGAATGGGGGTCCTGGCTCCCACAGGCCCTGCCCAGAGTAGGGCCACTGACCTCCCTATCACTGTCTGGGTCCTTCTGCGTGGGATGGGCAGAGCTTGACCTGTGGAGAGATGTGGGGTCAGGGCGCCAGGGTCCAGCCTCAGCAGAAGTTAGATGGCTGTTGTAGCCCACACCAGTGGTGTAGACACTTGGCATCTCCAGAGCATCTCTCCACACCCATACCCCTTGTTTCCCTCATCCATCGCACAAATTGCCCAGGTGGTGATACCAGCTCGCTCTCGGCCCTCCCCAGCTATCACACAGCAGCCAGGGGGAGAGTTTCAAAATTCAATTAACTAATTTCATTCCAGTTAGAATAAAACTTGGTGGTCTCCTGGGAGCTGTGAGGCTCCTGCCACCCTCCTAGCCCTTGCCTCCCCACTGCTTGAGGTTATTCTGCTCTTGCCCTGCCAGCTCCCTTCCTATCTCTCTAGGTGCTGACCCTGTCTCAGATCCTTAGCACTTGTGGCTCCCACTGTTGAGGCTGCCCCTCTCCATTTAACATCCTTTTTCTGAAAGCTACTTTCCCCTATCTAGATTTGGCCTTGGCACTTGTCCTTGATGTCCTTGATATCTATCCTGTGACACGGCCGCCTTTGACTGACCCTGAGCACCCCACAGGGGCAGGGACCATCCTGGGCCAGCCCACAGGGGTGTGAGAAAGGCTGTGTGGGCTTTGATCACGCAGCATGAGGCCCTGGAAGGCCCTACTGGGTGGGGACCCAATTTTGCCTGACATCCAGACCTTCTTTCATCACCCTCTTCACCTGCTCCATCCTGGGCCCCCACCCTGGATATGCAAGTTCAACTTGCCAAAGAGTAGCCAGGGCAGGCTCACAGCCAGAGGAATCTGGGCTGAGGCCCTGACCAACCTGCAGTGGAGAAGTGATAAGTGCAGGGCCTGTGCCTCACGTTGTATACACATCAATGCCCATTTGGCAAGTGAGGGACATGAAGCTCAGAGAGCAAGTCACCTATCCGAGGTCACCTGCAGGACATTTCTGGCCCATAAGGAACCTTCCTGAGAATCTGCCTTCCATTGCCTGGAGGGCCCTACTCTACCTCTCGACTGAATGCCTTGTATAGTCCACACCCTGACCAACTGTACTCAGAGGCCCTGCTCTTGTGGCTAATAGATGAAGGGGCCCAGATGCAAACCCAGAACAGTGTGCTCCCAGACCTCTATTCTCAGGAACTGTCCCAAGGCAGGGTCTTACAGTGGGAACTCCAGGGCTGAGGGGAACCCTAGGCAGAGGAAACGTGTATAGCTAACCTTTTGGAACCACCATTCAACACTGAACTGGAAATAACCGTCCCCACTGGAAGCGGGGTTGCAGGGATCAGAATTACCTCATGGCATGTGCATGGCCTACCAATGGTGGCTGCTCTTCTCCACAAAGCATGACCATGATTCATAAAGATGAATGTGAACTTGCAAATTGGTGGCACTTGGGTCCCCTTCCAGCCTGAGAAGCATCGTTTTGGGACATGGGAGGTTGAGAATGAAGAACATCTAAGGAGGGATGCCCATAGGAGCCTGGAGCTCAAGAAACAGTGAGAGACACAACCATGGGTGGTTGTGACCAGGCCATTGTAGAGAAGGAAGAACAGAGGACAAAGCATGTAAGGGGATGAGCAGAAGATACAGATCTTATGAAGGAGAGTAAGGGGAAGAGAGTGAGGGGGAGGCTCCTGAGCCCCTGGGCCATCCATTCTTCCCATCCCCACTACCACCACCTTCACCAAGATGTTAAACCATGAAGCTTCTGGAATAAAGCATAGGATATTGTTTTAGTGACTTTGGGGTTGGCAGAGATTTCTTAAGTAGAACACAAAATGCATCATCCATTAAAGCAAAGATTGGTAAATTGGACTCAAAAGATAACATTAAGAGAATAATAAGGCAAGAGAGATTGGGCAAAGGTATTTATACTATGCTTATTACATAAAGGACTGGCATCCAAAATATATAAAGCAGTAATAGAAAACCAGAAAAAAAAGGCCAATAATCCAATAACAATGTACAAAAATTGAACAGACACTTTTCTTCACAAAGGATATCCAAATGGCCATATTTTTCATCATGAAAATGCCATTAAACTTATGAGATACCACCCCACCCCTAAATTAAACTTGTCTTTGATTTTCTATATCCTGATGCTTTGATATCTGGGGCCATGCTGACTCCAGAAAGGACAAACACCCTTGAATGTGCTTTTCAAATGCAAAGCAACCAATCCAGAGTCCACATCCCATGCTCTCACACTGGTGGCACTATCTCTCTCTGCCTAATTCTCAGGGCCAGGTAGCAGACAACTTGGACAGCCACTATGCCCCAGAGGCCTGAAATTATTCAAATCAGCCAATCCTAGGCCTCTTTACCCTGTCTCACCTGTTCCTTCTTGCAAAAACCACAATAAAGGCTCCTGTCCATAGTTCCCCTGCTTCCTCTGCCTCCTGACCACCCTGGTGCTTCCTAGTTGGCCCCTCAGGGCATGACATGCCTTCTCTTCTAAGAACAAACTATCTTTTCAGTGGTAGTAGTCTTTTGATGTATTGGCCTTACTGAACCTCAAATTTTCTATCAATACACCCTATTTTAAAACAACCCTGCCAGAATACCTAGATTGAAAGAGATGATTTGGTGAGGAAGTGGGGCAACTGGAACTCTCATGAGTGTTGGCGGGCATGTAAAATGGGGCAGCCAATGTGGAGGATTGTATGCAGAAGCAACTAAAACTAAACATATGCCCACACTATGAACCAAAAATTCCACTCCTATTTTCAACGAAATAGTGCTCATGCATAAAATAGTGCTCAGATAGAAAAGCACAAGAATATTTGTAACATCTTTAATCAAAATGACCAAGAATTGGAAATAACCCAAATGGCTACCTATAGGAGAATGGACTAAGATAGCAGGGCTTATTTCCACAGTGGGATATGAAACAGCAGGAGCAAGAAAAGCCCGTGGCTGCACGAAGCCAGGTAGCTAAGAGTGGAAAGATCCAGGCACAGAGAACAGTGGTGTTGTTCTAAGTGCATCAAGTTCAAGAACAGAGAAAGTGACCCAGGGTGATTGAGATCAAAACGGTGGATACATTCTGGTGTAGGATCTGACTGGGAGAGGGTGCGAAGGAGTTCTGGGCACTGGGAATGTTTTCTATCTGGATCTGAGTGTGATCACATGGGTATATATATGTGTAAAAAGTCATGTTCACTTAAGATTTGTTCATTTTAACAAATCTTATGGCATGTCGATAACACCTCAATATAAGAGAAAAAAAGTAAATAACTAAATCCAATCATGTCACTGCTTTGCAGAAAATTTCTGGCCTCTGTAGGCTCTGGACCTGAGGGTGGACGCTGGAGCCAGAGCCCATGGTTCCAAGGCCAGCTGGCTGCTTTATGCCTCAGGTTCCTCACATGTCATGCGGGTGGTCCTCCAGGAGTTGCTGAGGTTTTGGGTGGCTGAGATGGAGTAGCAAGGAAACTGGGGGTGTCTGGGGGAGGGGTGGTGAGAGGATAGGGCAGTGTGAAGACGGGCAGGGGCTCACTGAGGAGGGAGGCAGTGGCGATGGGGAATGAGGAGGTCAATCCTGTGTTCACTGCTGGAGAACACAGGGGACATGTGTGGGGTGTCTGGGACATTGCAGAAAGAAATCCAGGAGATGCCCAAGAGGTGCCTGGCGTCCCGGAAGTGGAAGCTGGAGGGGCTGTGGGGCAAGAGTCACTGGAGCTGAAACTTGCCCCCAGCAGGAGGCATGGCCCTCAGCTAGAATCTCCAGGATGACTGATGGAGCTGTCAGACACTAGGACAATTCTGCAGGGCCAGCAGACCCAGCTCTCAGCCCCCTCTGGGATGGTGGATTTTATGTTTCAACATGGCTAAGTCAAACATTATTCTAGATGTTTCCGTGAAGGTGTGTTTTAGATGAGATTAATAATCAAATCAGATGACCCTCTATAATGTGTGTGAGTCTCTCCCAATCAGTTGAAGGCTTCAATAGAAAAAGACTGACCTCCCCAGAGGTAGAGGGAATTATGCCAGCATACTGCCTTCAGACACAAACAGTAGGTAGCAGCTGCTCTATAGCCTACTAGCCTGCCCATAGATTGTGGACTTGCCAGCCCCTCAGTCACATGAACCAATCATTCTCTCTCTCTCTCTCTCTCTCTCCCTCTCCCCTCTCCCCTCTCCCCTCTCCCCCCTCTCTCTCTCTCTCTCTTTCTCTCCCTCTGACCTCCCATCCCAGGCTTCCCACATGGCTCTCCAGGCCCCCATTCCTGAGGTGGTCCTGACTCCATGGGACAGATTAGTGCCTGACAGTGGCCCTGGCACACTGAAGGCAAATGCCTGACAGCCAAGTGAGGCTGTAGTCAGTGCCCTGCCCCTTTTTCATATCTTATGAATTTCGCTCCAGCCAGCACACAGAGGCCAGGGGCTGGATGGGCCACCAGGAAAACTTGAACCCTGGCTAAGGAGGACCGCCTCTAACCTCCCAGTAACATTGCTAATGAAGAAACAATGAGATGCACAGGGTCAGCTCCTTCATGAAAGGAAGAATAAGGATAAGAAAATTACCTTTGCTTGTATTTAGGTTGAATTATAAGACATATCAGTACTCTTTGGACCTACAAACACAACAACTTGATATGGTTCAACATCCTATTTGCATAAAAATGGCTGGACATGCAGGGAATAATAAAATTAATTGCAGTACTACCTGTGGCTTCTTGGGCCAACAGCTTGGTAGGAAGCACACGAGGACTCGGGGGTGGGAGGGGGAGGTTAAGACTTCTCAGTTTATATCTTCTATAGAGTTGTGATTTTTGTGAATGTTTCAGTGAGGAAGGAGAAGTAACTGGATGACCCAGCAGATAAACATACTCACCCTATGAACCAGGTGGAGTGGGTGACAGCTCTGGCCTTGCAGACTTCTGTGGAGGGACATGTTTGCACCAGCCCACAGATCTGTTTGGGGTTTCTGTTTGACTCTCATTGTGCTTTTTGAAAGATTTGAAAGTAACCATCACACTTAAATCTGGGTAATTTAATAGAGGAGTCTAGTCTCTGGCTTCTCTCGAATGGCTCCAGAGTTCTGGCCCCTGGGCTGGCACTCCCTGGTTACAAAAGGCTGGTGGAGTGCATGTGCCATCTTGTTCCATGTGCCCACCTGGCCACCCTCATCTGTTTACATTTGACTGGTCCTTTAGCACCTGAGTGGGCCACCCCAGGCTTAAGTTTACTGATTATGCAGAAATAAACCTTTGTTGAGAAAACCTCTTGATTTTGCAGCTTAAGTCAGACTGTACACCTTCCAGGTTGGGAAGAGCCCCTCCTTAAACTTTCCCTTTCAGGGAGTCTGGCCATCTTGGGTGCCCTTGAACTGGAGTCACTGAGGAGCACACCCCACCAGGCCCCAGCCACTTTTGTAGTCCCTCACCCCCAAGCCCACTCACCCTTTGGGGTCCAGCCCGCCACTCACGCTAGGCTGGCGGTCCTTCTGGAAGCCAACGGTAGTAGCCAGGATCTGCCCCCCCTGTATCATCTGCAGCACTTTCCCGGGCTTCCTTGGGCCCTGGCCCTCTGGAGGAAGCAGAGGAATGATTTCCATGTGCCCCAGCCTGGGATAGGGCCTCTCCAGCCTGGGGCAGCCATGTACCTCTGAAACCCATCTTGCCCTTGATCCCTGGTCCTACAGGAAGGGAGGGAGGGGCCCCAGATGGTCTTGGTTGGAACCACACATGTGGCAACACATTCTTGGGGGCACAGGGTTCCCTGAGACCCCTCAGTAGTAGAAGAAGAGAGGTGTACAAGAGGAAAAGCCCTTGGGTTTGAGTTGAGAGCCAGTCCTACTTCCCCAAGTGGGGACTTGGGCTGAGCCATGAGTGGCTAAGAGGCAGCTACTGCCAACTAAGGCTCTGCAGGGTATGGAAGGGACGAACCCTGTGGCCTGGATGCCTCTAAGGCCCCTGATAGGGGTCACAGGGTCTAGGTGGACCCAGGAACCTATCTTCTTTTTTCTGCTACCTTTATTCCCTTGTGTGGAGAACAGAGTATTCTCTTTGGGAGACTTGACGACCTTTTTGAGAGCCAAGTGCTTCTTCTCTTGTTCTTCCAACCACTCCTTGGGTGATAGCTTGTACAGGAAATCCTTGAAGATCTTGTAATGCTGCAGAGTATCTTCAAATTTGGAGATTTCGCTAAATCCAGGGAGGGGACAGGTGAGGTCAGGCTCTGCCCCCTGGGAGGCCCCTCCAGAGGGAAGCCCTTGTACCCTGGCTAAGGAGGACAGGAATAGGAGAAATGTCATGCCAGGGAAAGAACGCCTGCCCTGCAGGGACCAACGTGGGTTACACCTCCCAGAGTTACAGCCCTCAGGGACTCTGTCCACCCCTCTCAGAGTGGAGCCTGGGGGCCTCAGAGCCATGTGAGACCTGTCTCCTGGTGGTGTGGCCTTGGGAAAGTCACTGAATCTCTCCTGGCCTCAATCACCTCATCTATAAGATGGGCAGCAGAATACAGGGCTTCAAAACCCTGAGATATTTAGGGTTCAGTGGTAAAGTGATGAGGTCTGGCTAGGGGAGAAGTGATGGAGGAAAATGTGGACAGGCCAGCCCAAGCCCAGCATGCCTCTGACTTCACCTTTTGATGTTCATGATCTGGGTGGTCAGATCCCGAATCTCAGTGATCTTCTCCATCTTCGATTTGGTCTCCTTCTCTGCCCTGGAGGTGAGTAGAGGCAGGGAGCCAATCTCAGGCTATTAAAGAAGGGCATCCATACTGCCCTCAGGCTGGGCTGCAGGTGGGGGTGCTGCTAGGGGCCTGGGTCACAGTCAGGGTCAAGGCGGGGTCAGGGGGCAGGGGCAGTGGCCTGGTCCAGGCTGAGTTGGTGGGTGTGCACAGGCCCCGGGTATCCTGGGGGGATGGCACACGGCCAACCAGGCCTTCCAGCCACAGGCTCACGCTCTCAAGGCCTGCACGGAGCTGCGGTCATTCTCCCTGAGGAACTCATCAAACAGGGCCGAGTCCTTCTCTAGGGTCTTCTCGGCCCGCTCCAGCTCTGCCTCCTCCTTAGTTGCCAGCATCTCCAGTCGCTGGATCTCGCTCCGCTTCATATCCAGGGCATACTGAGGGCCACCAGAGCAGGAGTCATGCTTCTCACTTGGACAGCCCACCCTAGTCCCCTGCACAGGAGCAGCTGGGCCTACCTGGATGAGGAACATTTGCCGCTTCTGGTTGATGTACTTGTTTATGTTATCAGATTCCCCTTTCTTTTCTAAAATGAGAGGAGGCAGACATCTGAGGGATGGGGCAGATAGTGGGAAAGAGACTCAGGCCAATGGCTGAGGATGGGCACATGGCCAGTAAGTGGGGAGCCAGTTAGCTGTTCCTGGTGCAGCACTGTGCTACAAGGCCCAGATTATTACAAGAACTGTGGGAGAGTGAGCCCTGTCTCCAGTGGAAGGAGAGAAGGCTTGGCTGATATATTCCATTTCCATGCCTGGCGAATGGTCCAGGTGGGAAGAGCCTCTCTCTCTTGCTAGAGCACACTCTTCTTACCAGGAATGAGACTGGCCACCTCTGCCATGGAAGTTATAGCCAGCTGGACTTAATAACAAAACACCTATTGGCCAGGACCTTAAGAGGGGTGGTGAGAGAAAAATGGTGCAGCATGATCTCTACTTGGGGTACCCTTGGCCCCCAAGGGCCTAATTTGGGCAGCAGCTAAGTCTATACTGTCAGGTTTTAAGCCAGGTGGGAGGAAATGAAAGTGGGCATCTGGACAACCTTTCAGAGTGCAAGCACAGAGGCAGCGCAGTGGGGCCAAGGGCCCTGGGGCCTCTTTCCTTGGCCTTTCTGAAGAGGAAGACCTAGACACTCCCCAACTTGGAAGAGCCCAGGGAGTGTGGAAAGGACTATAGAAGCATGTGGCTTTCTGTTTTGTCTCTCAAATCCTCTCCTTTCCAGAAGAACCTGGTGTGGTGCAGGAGTCCTGTTTTAGGTCTAGATGTCTGGCAGTCAGCCCACTGGCCCCTGCCTCCCTGTTCTACCTTGGGAGAAGGCCTTGCCCTCAAGGAGACCCAGCTCCTCATTGGAAACCAAACCTGGGACACTGATGAGTCTTGTGCTCAAACTGGGTTGGTAGTATGTTAGTGCGTTTTCAGTACTTAAGATTTTCTACTGGATCACAAAAATAACAGCTCTCTCACATGCAGTTCTTTCTCATTATGTACGGTGTCAGAAGAAATTGAATCTCACAACCATGAGGTTGTTACTGTCATCAGCCAGGAGAGGAAACTGCCTGCAAAGGAATTAACAAACTTGCCGAGGATAGTGCAGCCATTAAATGCTAAGGCTGAGATCTGAATCCAAGAAATCTAGTTCCACATTGATGCTTTTTACCTCCAAGTCAAATACGTATATTTTATACTGCCTACATTCACTGTGCATGGTCAACACTCAGAATGCATGCAATATTGGGATTCAAAGGCTTTTAGGCTTGCACCCTATCTGGAATTGATCTTTGTGTTGTGATGGTGAAGGCAGGGGTCAGACAGAGAAGGCCCTGTTTCCCCATTACACTGCAGCATAGCCTTTCCAAGAACTTTTAAAGCACAGCCCTCTGTGAGGGGTGCAGACCTGACATGGGGGATGGAGGAGCCATACCTTTTGTCATGGAAAGCTTCCAGGCCGTGTTGTCGTGGAAGGCGCGCAGTTGCTCGGCCTCAGCACGCGCCTCCTGATCCTCTATCTCTTCCTCCAGCTGCAGCTCACGTCGCAGGCTGGTGTGCTTGGCTGACACTTTGGATGAGTATGTCATTTTCTCATGCACCCGCAGCGTCTTCTTCTGCTCCCGCTCCTGGGGGGAAGTGGGGGTCGTATCAGGCGGGGTTCCACCCGGCCAGCCTGCATTCCCCCCAACACGCCCCTCCTCCATCCTGCCTGGGCTGCGCCCTCCCCTCGCGTTGCAGGGGTCCCAGGGTCGCATGGGCTTGTGCTGGTGCGCACTTGGCCGGGACAGGGTGGGGGATGCGCACATGCCCCGAGCGAGTGGGGAAGGCTGTGGAGCTGTGTGCATGTGGGACTGCCCAGGTTTGAAAGGAAGTGAGCAGGAAGAACCTCTGGAGAGCAGGTGTGCAGGTGGGGCAGCCAGATGAAGTACAGGCTGCCCACAGGTCAGATGTGCATTCTAGGTAGTACAGTGACACACTAAAAGATGATTCCTCATTTATCTGAAATTCACACTTAAACTGAGTGTCTTGTATTGTGACTTGCTAAATCTGACACCTAGAGGTTCAGGGAAACTTGATCTTGAGTTTCCAAAAGAAACTTGAAAACTCGAGTTTGATCTGCAAGCCCCTTCGTCAGTGTTGGGGGCTGTGCTGTCATTGGGGTCTAGGCCTCCCCACCTACCTTCTGTCTTGCACTGGCCTCTGGCCCCAGCCCTTCACTTAGGAGGATCTCAGGATGCAGGGGGCAGGGTTGGAGCCTCTTCCCCAAAGCCTAGTGCAGGTCTCTGGCTGCAGGGGTGCCCAGCTCTTCCTGCTGTTCAGGCCCTGTAGGCGGGGGGCGGGGGGCAGTCTCTACATCCTTCACCAACTGGGTAGCTAAGCCCCGTAGATCAAACAGACCCTCACATGGACTCTGCATTTGGCCTTTCCTGGGTTAGATCTGTTTCCTGCT